TATTCAGAATTTCTTTCCTTGGCTCAGCCTATGTTTCACTCTTACAGCCAGTGATGCATTGTTTACAGAAGCTTCTCTGACCATGCTTCATCTCTGTTTTGTGCTGAACCGGCTTTTATTTTGAGAAAAAAATACATGTATAGCAGATACACTGTTCATTTTTTTTCTTGTGTATTTATTCTCATTTTGTTAGGGAATGACCAAATAGTTAAAGGCATGACTAAATGTACAAATAGAAACCACACATCCAGTAGTATTCAGCAAAGAAAGAAAGCATTCTTTCACTTTGTAAGAATACATTGATACATAGCATAATGACAAAATTCATCATGAATGAACAGCCTTGTCCAATAATTTTTTTTTTCCTGTTTGGTATTTAACATTTTGATTTGAGCATTCCTTGTTATAGAATGGCATATATTTAATCTGTAATAACTTCAGGAAGCTTTCATAACACACATTTAGCCAGACTTAACAATATGTGGCTTGTCACATCTTACTTCTAAGATCTTTTAAGGTAACTTTTTGATTTTTGTCATGCCATGCTCAATTAACACACGTTTGGAGCTCTCCGCCCCTTGGAACCCAGGTGTTTCAACCCATCCAAGATTTAGGCAGGACTGCTCAATTCAAAGTTCTCCAACAGAAAAGAGCTTTTCTACATTTGGTGGGAAAGCTGGCCATCCATTATGAAAAATTAATTTGGCTCTCAAGGAAAACATCCTTTACACAGGTTAAGGCATATGGTTCATGAAAAAGTTTGAAAAAGGTGTCAGCCTTGGTCAGGGGGATGATAGAGTTCTGAATGGACTGATAAGTATGGTTAGCACTGTTTATAGAAAAACAAAAGGTCTTCCATGGGTTTGAAAGAGAGATTTGTTAATCTTCACAGACATGCATTCTGCACTGTTTTATTCTATGTTTTTGCAGTTTAGTGCAACCTAAAATAGATTAATATAATGATTTAGTTATTCAGGCTATCAGGATAACAGAAGTAATTTATTGTCAGTTTCTGTGTTAACTTCCTGCAGACATATAATTTCAGCATTCTGATTTTAAAAGAGAAGCACCACACCACTTTTCCCTTTCTAAATGACGTATTGTTAAACAAAGACATAAACTAAACATACATTTTAAACAATGCACTCTAAACACACCTGGAGGCAAGTTCTGTATGCAACAGAATATACATATATATAGGTACATATATATATATATATATATATATTTTTGTACAAGCACCTTATAAAAATCAAATCGCTGCAGCACTTCAGTTCTGAAAATGCAAGAGGCTCTGCTAATTGTCTGATACTCCACTCTATTATATAGTGTTTCAAGATCAATAAACATCAGAATGTTTCAAAATCTACACCAGGTCAATGCAGTCTAGTTCTTAAGCCATGAGCATTTAACATTAAGTTATATACAAAAAACAAGGAAATAAATTCAATATAGGTGAAAGCAATGTCTTATTTTCCTTCACTAGTTCCTAATACTTTAGAGAAGAATGACCTGACTGCTTGGAAAGTGGATTGATTTTTGAAGTCTGGAGCCTTACATCTTCAATAAATGCAAATACTGGCAAGTATTGCAGCATGATACTAATAGTAGGCAATGAGGCACTGCTAAACCATTTCCTGGTTGATTTTTCATTTGTATTTAAATAAAAATGATTGATCTGACATTGAGGAAGCGTCAAAATTACGTGCTTTTAATATTACATCTTTGTCAAATTTAGGCTATTGAATCCAGAACTTGAAAAGCTACTGAAGCAAAAAACAAAAAACGAGTGTATGCTCAGACAAGCTAAATTCATTAAGAAAATGAAACTGAGAATTGTTTCTCCTTGCATCCATTTGTATCAAATCAGATTCCTAAGAATGCATATACTTAGCATTGGTGAAAAAAGCAAACCAGGGCGGGAAGGATCCAGCACAAGGCAATGGAACTGGTGAAGGGTCTGGAGTACAAGTCTGGTAAGGAGCACCTGAGGCATCTGGGGTTGTTCAGCCTGGAGAAAAGGAGGCTCAGGGGGGGACCTTATTACCCTTTACAACTCCCTGTAAGGAGGTTGTGGCCAGATGGTGGCCAGTGTCTTCTCCCTGGCAAGTGACAGGACAAGAAAAAGCAGTCTCAATTGTGCGAGAGGAGGTTGAGATTATATCTAAAGGATAACTTTTTACCTGAAAGGGCAGTCAGGCATTGGAACAGGCTGCCCAAGGAAGAGGTGAATTGCTTGTCTGGAAGTGTTCAAAAGGCCTGTGGATATGACATTTGTTCTCTTAGCCACCTGACAACAATGTGATACACTCTGTCAGCCTAAAGATATGCCCCCTTGTCCTATCTTTACATGACCTTATGAAAAGTCCCTCTCTAGCTCTCTTATAGCCCCATTTTAGATAGTGGAAGATGCTATAAGTTCTTCCTGGAGCCTTCACTTCTCCAGGCAGAACAGCTCCAGCTCTCTCAGCCTGACTTTATAGGAGAGGTGCTCCAGCCCCCTGACCACCTTCGTGGCTGTCCCAGCTCCAGGAGGTCCATGTTCTTATGCTGGGGGTCCCAGCACTGAATGCTGCAGGTGAGGTCTCATGATAGCTGAGCACAGGGGAAGAATCCCTTCCTAGACTTGCTGGCTACTCTTTCACTATAGCCCAGGACATGTTTCGCTTTCTGGGCAGCAAGCTCACATTGCTGGATTACAACAAGCTTCTCATCCATCAGCACCCCAAGTCCTTCTTCCCAGAGCTGCTCTTAGTGAAGACATGTTGGCTGTCAGTCATCTCCTTATTTTCTACGTGCCTTACCATAGTTTTCAGAAGGGTCTGCTTGGCAATGTTGTTGGGTGCTGAGGTAACACTCACTGGCCTGTAGTTCCCTGAGTCTTCCTTATTTCTCCTTTAAAAAAAAAAAGATTGATATTTCCCCTTTTCCAGTCATGGGAAGTCCACCTGACCATCACAACTTCTCAAACACAGTGGCTTAGCCTCTTTCTCCACCTGTTCCCTCAGAACGTGTGGATGCAGTTCATCAGAATCCATGGAATTGTGCACCTTCATTGTCCTTATATGTTCTTGAATCTCATCTTCTCCTACAGTGGGTGGTTCTTCATTTTACGTATCCCTACCTTTGCTTTCTGTGACTTGGGAAGGGAGGCTGGAGTCACTTGCCAAGAAAGATTGAGGAAAAAAAGTCATGAAGTAGCTCAGCTTTCTCCATGTTCCAGGTAATCTCCTATATTCTTCTGGAGAAGATTTTTCCTATTCTTTTTTTCCATCACTGATGTACCTACAGAAGCTTATATTTTTGCCCTTTTATCTCTGCTTAAGTTTAATACTACCAGGGTATTATCTTCCCTAGCTGACCCCAGGGTACTCAGACTAGTTCTCCATATTTCTCCCAGAATACCTGTTTTTAGGTATTCTCTAGGCTTCCTTTTAGTATTTGAGTTTCCAGAAACTCCTTGTTCATCCAAGCAGGTCTCCTGTGGGTTTGCCTGACTTCCTTTTTGTTGGGATGCATTGCTTGGAAGAGGCAGAGTCTGACTATTAACCAGCTTCTCTGTGCCCCTCTCCAGGGCTCTATCCCATGATAAAGCAGACGCCCAACAGACCGAGTCAGCTATCCTGAAGTCCATGGTGGTGAACTTGCTGCGCTTCCTCCTCATTGCCCGAAGCATCTTGGACTCCACCATTTCATGGTCACCACAGACCTTGAGCTTCACATTCCCCACCAGCCCTCTCCTTGTTGGTGAGAATAAGGTCCACAATAGCACCTCTCCTCACTTGCTCCTCTATGACTTGGAGAAGGAAATAAGCACCAAGGCATTCCAGGAACCTCCTAGATTGCCTGTGCTCTGCTGTGTTGCTCCTCCAACAGATGTTGGGCTGGTTGAAGTCCCCTGCGAGGACCAGGGCTTATGAACATGAGGAGTCCCTCCTCTGTCTGTGAAGGGACTCATCTCCTTGGTCTTTCTGGTCAGGCAGCCTGTTGCAGAACCCCTTTGTAAAGTCACCTGCCCCTGCCCCCCCTTTAATCCTGACCTATAAGCTTTGGTTGGCCCCTCATCCATCCCCAGGTGGAGTTGCATGCATTCCAATAGCAGAAGACACTTGTGTACACAGAGGCACTTAAGTTGCCCTCTCTATTACCATAAGCTGACTGACAGGCCAAAGTGGCTGGAATTCCTTTGTGCTGCCCTTCAGGAGCTTTCTTACTGACCTGCCATCCCTCTCTAGGCCCCAAAAATTTCTTGGCCCTGGCATCAAAATAGTAAGAGATGGATGGACTGAGGTTCCCCTCCCCTCAGCAACTACAGTAGCTCTTAACGTTCATACCCGGTGACTGCAGCGGTCCTTACTGCTCTTCAAAGATGGAATCCAACACTTTGACTTTTTGTCTAGTGGGAGAAATGGAAAATCATGATTAATCAAACTTTGAAGTATGTTCTCTAAGATATTAGAAAACATTCCAAACATTGCAAAACTTCGCAATGATACAAAGCTTCTTTACTCCAGCAAAGATCCACTGAAATTTATTGGCCAAATTTTTGTACTATTACACTTTTAACTTTTGGGAACAGGTAGGGTAGGAAAGGGGATGATATTCTTAGCAAAAGAAAATAGTAGTGCTAACACATACATCCTGACTTTAAGGCATAGGTGTATGTGTGACAGTGATTTATAAAAAAGCACACACAATGGAAGAACATGTTCCTAGGATGTGCCTAATTCTTAACGGCAGCCAATGCATTTCGAGTAGTTCCTCGAAATATTGGGTAGAAGCAGACACCAGGGATGCACATTTTCAGACCGAGCAGATTAAATTAGGAGCTAGAAGCTACCAAACAGAGGACACAACCTGAATGGCCTTCCATAAACCGGCCATTTCAGCTGTGACCCATTCCTGTAGGAACACGAGCTACTTTGCATGAAAGCACCACGGAACATTCTACTTCTTCCTTCATTCCTAGAAAAGCTTGACCCAAGCTGGAGCTTGGCACCGGCTCACAAACGCGTCTGATTGTGCTAGCGGGCAACAGGGATCCCACAGAAGAGCGGACGGCGCTCTGCCGAACAACGCGGATGCCGGAGTCGTTCAGGACCGGAGGTCTCCCCACGCCCCACAATCCCTATGCTCCAGTCCCCTGCCGCCGCGAGGCGCGGGCAGAGCGGCGGAGTCCCCAGGTTATCCTCCCTCCTTTCCTCTCGCTTCTTCGGCGAAGGCTGCCACACACCGACCGCCGACGGGGCGGCGCCGGCAGCAACGGGGACATCGGTGCGTGGCGCCTCTGAACGGTTGCGGGGCAGCTCCCGCCACGCCGAGCCGGGGGCTGGCAGCACAGCCGCCCCTGCTCGCGCAGAGCGGAGGGGCGGAGGGACGGTGGCCGCGGCTCGCCCCGAGTCTCGAACGCCGGGGCGGTGCGGCCGGCGGGGGCGGAGCCGCGCCCGTGACGCGGCGCTCCGGCGGCGGCGGGGCCGGCGGACGGGCGGGGGCTCTCTCGGCGCGGAGCTTTTGCGCTGCGGCCGCAGGAGCTCCGGTGGCGGCGGCAGCGCTCCGGCCGGGGAAGGAGGTGGCAGACTCCGGCGTCGCGTGCGGGCAACGAGGGGGAGTGGAGCGGCTGCTGAGGCGGCCGGAGGAGGAGAAGGAGGAAGGAGGAGGAAGGGAGCGGGGAGCAGCGCCGCTTGGTCGGCCCGGCGGTGCTGCTGCCGCCACTTCCCCGCTGGGCGCTCTCCTACCCGCGAACTCGATCCACTCCCGGAAACTCTCGACTCTCCTCTCAGTCTCGCCGGCGGGGTCTCGACACGGCTGTCGGTCTCGGCGAGGCGGGCGGGGGGCAACTTCTCGCACTTCTCCGGAGAAGGATTTGGGCCGCCCCGCTCCGGGGGCAGCGCCTGCGGTTCCCTCCGCGGCGGGAGAACTTTAGCCTCCGATCGCGGGGCGGCGAGAGGGGCCCGGGTACGCCGGCCGCGGCGGGAGCAGCGCGGCGGCGCCGGCCCGGCAGCCGCGGAGATGAAGCTGAGCCGGCAGTTCACGGTGTTCGGTAGTGCGGTCTTCTGCGTGGTGATCTTCTCCCTGTACCTGATGCTGGACCGCGGCCACTTCGACCACCCGAAGAGCCCCCGGCGGGAGGGCACCTTCCCCAAGGTGAGCGGGGCGGCGTCCGGGGCGCGGCGGGCGGCGGTGGAGGGGAGGGCGGCCGTGCCGCCACCACCGTCCCCTGGACGTGCCGCTGTCGGAGCGCCGAAGCGCGGCGGGGACGAGGCGCGGCGGCTGCGGGGCC